ATAGTGTCCAACTGTTGTTCCTAGGAACAATTGTTCCTAGGATAGTTGTTGAATATAAAAATGAATAGAGAAAAGGGTACATTTTTTTTCTAGAAAATAACCCCACATATTTTCATTTTGCTAGCTCTCGAAATGATTTTTCTAATAACTATTTTATAAGCTCTCACCATATTGATTTTTATTTCTCTGTGTTACACACCCTGTGGGTGTGCTAAAAGAAAGGAGCTTTCAACTGAGAATAAATTGGTATATTGTTCATTTTATATTTGCAAACTTTACAAAAAAGTCTGTATAAAGTGGTTGCTCTATCAGTTAGAAAAAGACTGAAGAATTGATAGGCAGAATTGAAAAGCTCATAATGAGGAAGCTGGATTATTTTCTGAAGTTAGACATCATGAGGTGACAGGGAATACTTTTATTACATACAGAGATGTAGGCACCTCAAATCAGCAAGTCCCTTGAGCACGTGCTTAACTTTAAGGACCTAAGTAATCAAGCTGGCTTCACTGAAACAACCAGTGTGTCAACAATTATTTATGTGTTTGATACTCCGAATGAAGGTTTAGACCGTATAGAGAAATTTTTTTCTTCTAAAACAACTTTACAGGAACGTAAGGGGCTGTTAAGCCAGTTCAGTTAACTCGATTAAAAAGCATCTTCTCTCATCACGTATATAGGATTGCGAAGGCAGTGAGGGACTAGGAAGACAATGCACACAACAGGTTTCAGGACAGATTCTGTATTATTATGCTAAGGATATGGTTAACTTGTCTAGTAGTTATTTGCCCCAAAGATTCCTCCTGCATTTTACCTCTCTGTTTGCACTGCACCACATTTTGTACACCTGGCCCCCAAAAGCTCATGGTTTCAAGAACTATAGTTCTAGGTATTGCACTGACATTACAGACGGTATCTCTGCACCTCCTCCGTGCATCCCATAGTCTATGCTGGAACAACACCCCCCCTCCCAACCCCCAAAAAAACCCTATAAATTCTTTCCTAAGCAGACCCTGACTTTGCAAGCCCACATAGCTATTTGTATGAGGAAGGTCTGCAACAGCCTCTAGAGATACAAAGTCCATGTGGCAAGAGGAAGATTCACAGTTTGTAATGATCTTTGTTTAATATATGAAATAGTCAATATATGAAATAGTCAGAACAGTGCTCCTCACATACTGGATTCAAATGGATACTTTTAATGGTATAAAATACTGCCAGGTGCTCCTCGTTTTGCCTGATTCATTCTTTAACTTTCTTGAGAGAGACACTGCCATACAAACCTTCAGTAATGCTTGGACTCTGCCTGAACCCAGTGCTAGAGAATGAGGCACACAACGAGATTTACCCGTTCTCATTCTGAATTGAGGCATTTTCTGCATGAAGTAATTTAATCAGAGAAGTTAATCTTTGGGCTGCAAAATGTGACAACCAGAGAGGCTGATGAAGAACTCTGAAAGGACAACTATGCTGCATCAGACCCGCGGCAACGTCTAGCACATCATTCAGTTACAATAGGCACCAAAAAGCCTGTTTCCCAATAAATTAACATCTGTCAGACACCTTCTCAAGTATCAGTGGTATTAACAGAAATCAAAATGTTGCAGAAAACACTACCCTTTATAAGCAATTAACTCAAAGTGCAGAAAATAGGAAATGTGATAATAGGCAGGTGCGTGTAGTTGTCGGCTCTCTTCTCTGCTTCTGAGTTATGTTTCCTGTCCTGCAGCGGGGGGGCAGCGAGAGAAGCGTTTCTAGGTCAGCGCCGAGCGTGGGATGGAGCGGAGCAGCGGCGAGCCCGGTGCCCACCCACGCGAGGCGAGCGCAGAGCCCTCTGCGTGGAGAGGAGCCCTCTGCGCCGCACGCCCGGTGCCCGAGAAAGCTTCAGCCCGCGGCAGGGGGGTTGCGCAGACACGGGACTTTGCAAACACAGGCCGTCATCTTCTCCGTTTCCAAACGTATTGCAAACGCCACAGTAAGCAAAACGATTTTCAACAGGAAAACATTATAAACGAATCCGGTAAAGCTCTTCCCCTTCGTTTCAGCCTCCCTCAGCCCGGTCTTCTCCCCCCTGCACCTCCCAGCTCAAAGGCAATTTACACTTTTCTCCGTGCATTTCTCAGCTGCCACCTGAAGGCTCCTACCTCCTCATTGCCAGCTGCTGGAAAGGCAATTGGCCCTTATGGCACTCAGCCTAGAGAGACGATTATCTGGATGATTTTCAGGCAAACTTACCCCTCAAAGCCCTCACCAGTTCTCCTGCTCTCAAGCTTGCTGAGCTTGCTGGACAGTTGTGAACAAAACCAGTCGGTCAAGGCAAATGGATCTTTAGAGGAATAGAGCTATTGCATTAATATAAGCCTAGTACACATCAATTCTTCTTTTTTTTTTTTTTTTGAAAATGATGCAACTAGGTTCAGATTTGAACATTTTAAGTAAAGCAGTCTTTACCTCTGCTCATGCTAGTAAATATGCTACTTTCACAAAGTCAGAGCAACAGCCTGGGAAAGCCCACTATGCAGCTGCAGTGAGCAAAGGAAGCAGTAACACTTATGAACAGGACAGCGCTTTAGGCCAAGCGAGAGGCTAACAAGCAGAGACAGTGCATACACCATGCCCAGTTCTTCTCTCACACCAACATAACTCTATTAGCTTCAGTAAACTTACTCCTAATTTACATCATCACAGAAGAGAATCAGTTGTCTTTTTTAATTGTTAAAATTCAGTGTTGCTTTCAACCTCACACAGCTGCCAGCGCAGTCAGTTCCAGCACCCCGAGGTTCAGGAGCTGCTCGTGCAGCTCACGTGCGCTGGGGAGCAGGTAATTCCCAGCCCTCCAGCTCCTTACAGCAGAAGTGTCCCTACTTCTTGCTAGGGTGGCAGACATCGGATAGGTCCTACCTGTTCTTTGGATTTTAAAATAAGATCCGTGACTTGTCCATAGCTCTAGGGCCACTCCAGTTTAGCTAGATGTGCTGTGCCATCTGGAGCTGCTCTGGCCCTGAGCTGTGAGATACAGCTCTGCACGCAGGGAGCCTGCACCGTGGCCTGGGCAGCAAACCCTGGCAGCAACTGGGTGCCAAGGCACGCTGGTCCACTTCTGCCGGCATCCACCCAAGCAGGGGTGGCACAGCCAGGCTCTGCCTCTGCTCGATGCCCCCCCTCCCTCCCCAAGGGGCTCACAATTTCTCCAAGCCCCAGGGACATGGTGCAACTGTTTGCTGGGAAACCAGGAGAACATTTGGCCCAAGTGCCAATAGGAGGTTTTGACCAAGTATTCTGATCACCTATATCCAGACCAGAGCTCATTCTTTAACTAACTTCTCCCTCCCCATGTCCCCTTAATCTCCATCCTGCTGATTTTTTTCTGCTGAATAGCACAGTTAAAGAGCATAGAGATCTAAATATTTATTAATATCTTATTAACTGTCATGAAACGTGCAGCCACATAGAGCCCCACAGGTTGGCACCTTTTGAGATAAAGCCTCACTGGACACATTCAGAATCTACAGAAGAGAAAAATATTCCAAGCCTCAGGTGATGTTTGAATGAGAAGACATCCACAGAGGCTACTGAGATGCAAACGTGCAGGAAGGCAGGTTTTGCAGGCTTCCTACTAGCAGACCTGCTTATTTACTCTTGCTACTGCAAACATTTTCATGACATCAGTTGAGTGTGCCTGGTAGCATAGGCTAGCTGCTCTTTTGAGAGCAGGCCATCTTTTTACATTATTCACAGCTGTACCGTGCTACAGAAAAGACTTCCCAGTTAGGTCAGGTCTTCCAAGATGAAAAGTATGCCTGCCTCTACCTCTCCTGGACACCCAGCACTTCTGATTTGACACCAAGTTGCTTCTAGCGCTGCTGCAGCAAGTCCTGCCTGGCAGTGCGTCATGGACAGGGGTGCCAGCACCACAGTTGCGAGGAGCCAGCCACGAATCCAACCCAAGGAGTCTAACAGGTCCATTAATGGGTCTAGGTGAGGAAGACCATATAGTGATAAACAGTTTATTTTTACTTCTTATCACTGTGCTTAAAGGCCTCATGCTATAACTTTCATTCTTAGTGGTTCAGATCATAATCTCTTTGTTTCCCTGAGCAGAAGAGGGGAGGGTATCACATCTTCTACTTTCACCCCAAAATATCTACCTTCTGGAATTATAGTGCTACTTTTAACCAGCCTGTACAGAGCATGCAGTTTAAGAATTGGATGTTTTTTACCTTCTTGTGCATCCACCAGATTTGTTACCTATTTTCTGCTCCTTAATTTTCTTTGTCCACCTTGCTAGGCCACTTCACAGCTGTCCTTCCCTCCTTTTCCCCTCCTCTTTTCCTCCCTTCAGAGCTCCTGGCTCTGTTGACAACTTTGGCAGAGCCTAGAGAGCAAATGCCCTTTTTCCCCCCTCCAGCACTAGCCTTGTGCAAGAGGCACCTCAGTCAGGGTGCAGCTGCTATTGGTCCAGCCTTGCCTTTCCCCAATGGAACAGTTTTATCAGCGTACACTGTTTCTGCACCATTTTCCTCCAGCATCACCTCCAACAGCAAAACACATTCACTAGTTGAGGTTGTAAGTAAGTGTCAGAACCTTAACTATTCTTTTGCCACTTGAGGGCTGATGTTCAGAGCTCAGTTTTCTTTTTGCTCTATAAGGGAAAGTTATTCTTGTTTTCTTATGCAGCTGGCATCACTAAACATTGGCAATTTGATGACTTGGCATTACTTTCCCTTTCTAGAGTGAGCACATTGCTGTGGTTCTAATTTAGTATGGGAATTGACATTCCTGGCAAGTATCAACCCCTACCAAAGCCCAACTATTCCCTCGAAACTAATCTAGGCACTCCTCCAGTGTTACCTAGTATCTTGTTTCAATAAACAGATAGAAAAAGCATAAGCCAGCAGCATAGATTTTTAAAAAGAGTCACTGGACAGAGACCACATGCTGCATACTCAACATGCTCTTCAGGAAACAAACGCTTTGCCAGAAAAGTTTAGGCATTAAGTGTGGAAAAAGCCATCCCAAAAAATTTATTCTCAAAATGTCAACAGAAACGCATCAGTAGATACTCAAAACTACAGAGTTCTTAAAAGTCATACATTCACAATGCAGAAACTTGACAATTGGGATGCCTTTTGCATGTTCTATGTAACAATATCCATTTTACAGTGTAAACAGGTACTGGTATGTTCTTACTTACAAGTCCAGCAGGAAAGGCACAACTCGGCATACAGAGATCATAAGCAAGAATCAGGTGCAACAACATTACACAAACTTTTGGTAATATGCATTTTTGGGGCCTTCCACAACGGAGACTGGACTTGAAGACTTCCTGCAGTCAAAAATCAGACTTTTCTCCATCATTCAGTCCTTTCATACCAAACACTTAGTTTCCAATCTAGTTTAGATTCCATTACACATACAGTTCCAGCAGACATTAGAGGAATAGTGAAAGGTAAGTCCAGTAAGTCTTCAGGTGCTTCCACTAATACATCAGGTTTTGGTTTCAGATAGTGCATGGAAGCATCTGCTTGAATCTCAGTTCATTACAGTGGTCATTAATAGAAAAATAGACACTACATCTACAAAAGGAAAAAAAATGAGGTAGATAACTTAGAATCCAGATGACTATCCCAGCAACCTTCATACAATACACATGGATCATTAATTACCATTTTGGTAGAATGCAAGTTCACAGACCACCAAGAAACTTAATGACCAGAGTAGGAACGCCATCCAAAAACTCACAAAACATTTAACCTAAGCATGAATACTTCATATTTAAATACAGGTTTACACAGACTGATCTTCTACATTACCCAAACAAAAATAAAAAATTAAAAAAAAAAAAGTCTCTTGCTAAGGAAACCAGTTCCCATGCCTAGTTGCAACAGTCACCTAAGATTCCTTGCAGAGCTTTTAGACCTGACTTCCCAAGGCAAGTCTTCCCTTTCAAAAGAGGAAAAAAAAAGTATATACATACCCACCCATGCTTGTTTGGGGCTCTCGGTAATGAAATAAAACATCTAGGAAAAACTGCACATCTTTGGAAGTAGGAGTTTTGGCACTATTCTTGAAGGACTGTCCCAATAGTAGTATTAAATAAGCAGCAGTCAACAATACAGAGAATCAATTCCTTCGGAGCAGTGATTAAAGAAAAACAGTAACTTTCTTTTCATAGAACTTGAGGCAAAAAGGAACTTTTATATAAAAAAAGGGTTTTTTTGTAGTTTTTGTAGCCATTATAGTAAAAAGTACATTCAGAAACCATACAGAGCCAAAAACCAAACAGAAAGACTACTTCTAAAAGGGTGGCAGACATTCTAGGATATTTACCCGCATTAATAGTTTTCATTTGTCATCAGTAAATAAGCTTTTCCATTAACAGTAGGTTGTTTCCACTCTGTTCAAACCCCCAAGTATTTCACTCTAAACAAAGAGGTAAATATTCTGAACTTTGGAATTTCAAGTTGTAGAAACTTCGGTAAGGCTGTACAACATTGAAGTCATTGAAGTAAGAACTACTTTGCAAGACCCGCATCTTTCCAAATAGAAGGAGTTCCTATTCTTTATTATTTACTATTTGCAAAGCAATATCATGATTGTACTCTGGGCAACTCTTACAAAGACAACCATAAAATCATTTGCACGTCACTAGGAAAATAGGAGGCTGAAGTGGAATCTCTTAAAAATATATGTTTGTGTATATATATATATTTGTTCTTTTTGTAGGTCAACTTCACTAGAGTTTTTAACTAACAGCAATTTTGTTCTCCTCCATGAAGTGAGGGAACTGGTGTTTTGGCACATTGTCTGCAGCAGCACCACTGGCCTTCTCCATATCAGAACCAGTCCCAGACTGGGTCCCATCTATTTTGGAGACTGTAGCAGTATTTATTGCCGAACCACCCCCAATGGTGACTGGTAGGGTAGGTAAGCCACCACTCTGGATCACCGAGATCTCATTAGTCTTCATTGCTATGCCATTGCTGAGTACCGCTGCATACTGATTCCATACTGTGGGGTCAATGCTCACTGAAGGAGGCATTATATCCTTTGGAAACATTTCAGATACCTTCTTGGGATCATTGCCCAGCAGAGCCATGGGATTATCAATTGAGAGCCTTCTTCCGCGCCTGGCAGAGTTATTCCACATGTGAGTTCCTACATGGACCTTTCAGGGAGGGAGGGAGGAAAGTAAAGAGAATCATTAATACTTCATTTGTATGGTACATTCATGCTTTACCTTGCTTACAGCCAAGTTGCTCAAGAGAAGTTGTGTGCCCAATTTGCATTCAGGTAGATATTTAATTGAACTAGCTAGTTCTTGTCTGTCTTTGTTCTCTTCCTTAATTGTGTAGGATACAGTCATTCTACAGCTGTACATAACCATGGGTCTTTAGATTTCACTGCCAAAGTGCTCGTAGGATGGAGTTTTTACACTTAGAGTAAGTGAAATTGGCTGGGTTTCCTCCTCCACCAAAACCACATTACTTCTTGTGAACAGATTGCACCAAATACCAGTAAATGGAAAAAAACAAAACAAAAAAACCAAAAAGACCCCAAGGATTCAGAAGATATATTACACCTAAGCTAAAAATCTTCCACACCGCAGACACAGTACTAGCACTTAACAGCAAATGATTGTTCATAAGACAAAGCATTTTTCCTCTCTATCAGCACTTATATAAAAGACTGGAGAGCTTGAAAAGGTTCTCGTGGGAAGTGAGAAGCCACTGTGAGAATAAGGAACCTATGAGTCCCTTACAGAACAAGGGGATTAACGTGACAATTCAGACAGACTTGAGGCATTTGTCTAGCAAGTGCCTAGGCCCAAACGCTCAAGGACTCCGCACCACTTCAGGAATATCTTCTTTCAGTTTTATTCCTTCTTGTCCTGCACGCTGTTCCAAACAATGAAGTGTAGTGCACATATTCTGTAAACGTCACTTTATTGCATTCAATAGTTGAATTTATGTCCTGATACCTCCAAATCCAAATGAAAATAAAGCAACCTGTTCAATAAGGGCTAAATCTTCTCCTACCATCCAGGAATGAAAGAAAATCAATGACAGTAGTAAAACTTCTACAGGAGAGACCTAGTTGTGATCCCAATACACCATCTAGCCAGCAGGTTGCTGGAAGAAACTCAAAGGAGAGACAGAAGTCAAAGATAATCACTTGAGGAACTATAAGTAAATCCAAGTTGTCCTCAAAGGCCAGACAAATATCAGCAATAGTCTCCCACTCTAGAATGACTTTCCCTGACAAAGGAAATCACAACTTAAACACCTAAAATGGGTAGTTTACCTTCAGGTTTCCTTTTGTTGTGAAGGCTCTCCCACAGATGGTGCAGGCAAACGGCTTTTCACCAGTGTGGGTCCGTTCGTGAATCTGAAGGGCGCTCGCGGAGGAGAAGTTCTTCCCACACGTAGTGCAGATGTGCTGTTTGGCCGGACGGCAGAATTTCGGTCGTGGCACGAGGAGCGGGGCAACACCAGGCGAGAGAGCCGGTGGGCCAATGAAATGGCTAGTGCTAATGGGACGCTCGCTGGGTATTTCCATTTTTATGAGGGCTGGTGGGGCTCTAACAAAAGCAGCTGGAATACTATTTCGACCTGGAAAGAGAGCGAAGATAACATTTATTCCACCTTCTGCTTTCAAGCTTAAACCTGGCCTAAGATATCCAGTCCTGCCTTTTGTAGCGGCACGTGCCTGAACAACATACTCACAAAGCCCTCAGACTCAGAAGCCATGTGACAGGACTGCTATTAAGCTTGCAGGTATGTTCAGACAGAAAATCAGCTCATTCCTATTTTTACTGGTGAGATTAGGCGTTAAGAAGTCTCCCTTTTGATCAAATTTAGATCAATATCAACCACAGCGCTAAAAAGCTCAAAACCCTCACAAGATATTTCCAAGTTTTAACACCACATTCTCAGGTTAAACAGTTTTCCACGAAACACAAACGTAGAGCTGCTTGCTTTAGGGAGCTACAGGGAGATATTAGGTGAGCCTATGAAAGTGCACAGCCCTCATTTATTTTAGGGATCTCTGTGCTCCCTCTTGCAGAGGAAGAGAGCACTTAGACTTTAAATTTGGTTTAACTTTGAATCTGATATCATAGAAAAAACAATAAGCAAAAAACCCACCCCCCCCCACCAACTTTCTAGGGCATGCACCCTTCTCTCAGTGAGGGAGGAAAAAGAGGAAGAAGGAGAGATGGGTCTGTTGGTTCTTTTGAAAAGGGTTTCCCCCCCGTGCTACCCACCACACACAAGCTACCGCCAACATTTCAAATAACTCACCATATTCTCCATTGGCAAAGTGTAAGCCAGGTTCTTCTTTAATGACCTTTCGACCAATATTGCCATATGTTAAATCCAAAGCACCAACCCCTTCCATTTCTGCAGATGTGTTGTCAGGACCCTCCGCTTTATTTCCCACACCTGCATCTTCTTGATTGTTGAAGCTAGGTGACTTTGACCTCACGCTCTCAGCTTGGCTGTTGGCTGGGGACAGGGCGTGGAGGGATGCGGACTCAGAGGCAGCAGGACTCCTGCCATTCTGATAATCTGGGTCTCCCGCCACAGAGGAAGAATCGTTTGTCATGCCATCGCTTTCTGCTGAGCCGTTGTCACTAGACTTCAAGCTACTTTGCCGCTGCAAGTTCAAGGTAGAGTTTACAATTTTCATTTGATTCTCCAGTGCTGCGATCCCAGAGAAACCAGCTGCCGTGGCCGGGGAATCTGATTGTGCATCGTACGGAGTAGGAGGCTTTGAAGAACTCCTCGGGCCATCCTGAGAGTCCAGGTCCTCTTCCATCTCTATGCTTTCCACGTTCTCATCTGGGCGGCTGACGTCTCCGTTCTTCTCAGCCACTGCAGGATCCACGTCAGCACTGTCGCAGGCGTTTTCTGGCATTGGTGTGTTAGGTATTTGTCCCCCCATATGCATGCGGATATGCTGCTGCAACACAACTGCGTTTGTAAACTTCTTCTGGCAAATAGGACATGAATGCTGCATCTTCAAAGGGGTATTGGCCCGGTGGACACCATAATGAGTTTTAAGGTTTCCTTTAGTGGAGAAGGCACGGCCACAGATTTTACACTTGAACGGCCTCTCTCCGGTGTGAGTACGATAATGCATTTTGAGTGAACTCTGGCAGCTCAGCACTCTGTGGCAGATCAGGCACTCATTGGGGTCAGCAGTAGATTTATCAATGTTTTCAACCAGTTGCTGAAGCTTTGATGTCTCCGAACCTTGCTCATTTGACCCGCTTACATGGAAGATGCTCACGCTGCAGGTTGCTTGTGGTGAATTCAAGCTCTGTTCTGTGCCAGACTCATGACCAACTGCCCCCGATGAGGAAGAGCCACCTTCGCTTTCTGGAGAAGGCCTTGATGGCAGGTCACTTGAGAACGTACCAGTGACAGACTCCTTGATGCCTGCTAGATTGGAGACGTTCTGAGGAACACTGGTAGCCACAGAGGTAGGCAGGGTTGTAAGGAGAGGCTTACTATCCACAATTAGGTTAGACTCGTCCAGCGGTACAGACATCCCATAGGGGATGCCACTGCTAGTGGGAACATTGTCCAGGTGCTCAGGAACCGGATAAGGATTCATCTTTATGTGCGGGTATTTGTCTTTGTGACGCTGAAAATGCACTTTAAGGTTTCCTTTGGTTGTAAAGCGGTTACCGCAAATATTACACTTGTAGGGTCTTTCACCAGTGTGGGAACGGAGGTGAATCTGCAGGGCACTGTCATTGCCGAAGACTTTGCCGCAGAATTTACACTTGTGTTTGAAGAAAGGCTCTTCTGCAGCATTCGGTTTGCTTTCAGACACGCTAATGTTGGGAGGTTTTCCTTTCCCCTTCTTCGAGGAATCTATTACAGAAGAAACGGCCGAAAGTGGATTTTGGAAGATGACGGAGTTGGAGGACTGAGGTAGCAAAGGATTCGGGAACCGAGAAATTGAACCAGGGAAGCTTCTGTTTGCCTCCGGCTTCAAGGGGAAGGAGGAGGAAAGCCCGGCAGCCAGAGAGCCGGCAGCCGCAACGCCAGTGTTAGAATGAGGTAGTTTTCCTTGCTTCAAGGATTCCAGTGATAGGCTCTGGCTCCCAGCTTTTTGTCCGATCAAAGCAACAGCAGCAGACAGCTGCTGAGACATATGAGCACCCAAAGCTTTGAGTGGATCAGCAGCAGCTGCTATAGAGGGGTGTAGGGCATGGGGAGCCATCATGGCAATCTGAATACGAATTTGCTCTGTCAGCTGAATTTGCTGGAGTTGCTGCTGCTGCAAACACACAAGCTGCTCGAGGATCATCGGAATGGCATTAAAACTGGCTGCTGAGGAAGAGAGGGCATCAGAGGTACGTTGGTTCACAGCCACTTTAGTGCCACGTATCGTCTGCAAAGTCACATTAGTGTTAGGTACTTTGGATTTTGGTAAATAGCTTAGCCCGGGAGCGGCAGGTGTAACAGGGGGCTCTATTTTAAGATACATTCCTCCCATCGATTCAGCATCAATTTTCCCTTCTCTCTTTTCCATAGAGCCAGTGCAGCCCTTTGCCTGAACGTCCTTGCGTGTCCTGCTGTCCAGTCGATCGCTTGAAAAGCTCCCCAGAGAAGCTTCAGAGAAGCTTTCAGGGGGTACGGTTCCCTCACTGTCGTTCATGATTAGGACAGGTGGATTTTTAGTGCAATTTTTCTTATGCTCAAGGAATTCAGAGAGATCAAAGAATTCTGCACAGCATTTCTCACAGATTTTGGTTTCCTCTGTTCGGCACCTTTTGGAACTCATTTCACCATCTCCGTCACCTGGGACGTCTTGTGGACTCCCTTAAAAATACAAGGAAAGTCACATTAATAGCTAAATTTTGATCAAGTTTTTCCTATTCTTAAGATCATTGACTTGACCAGAATTTCAAATTACAGGTGCAAGAAACAGGTACCAAGTTTGCAGACAGAACTGGAGTCCTAGCATTTGCTTTGCTACCAGTTCAGTTGCAGCCCCAAGAAAGCCTGCATCCCAGTCCTCTTTTCCATAAAAAACAACATAAAACAAATTGCACAAGGCCCGAGGGAGAGAGAAGGTCACTGCAAGCCCCTTCATATAGGTAAAAATGGAACAGCGCAGTAATTCTGTTAGTCCCTGCAAACAGGTTAAAAGGAACACCACCCAAAGCAAAACAGAGACGGCATCTAATATATAAAGCAGAACATCACATTAAGCTTAGTTTGTGTTTTTTATTTCAGGTAGTAATTCATAGTTAGTAACCTCCTAGTAATTCATATAAGATTATTAACCCAAAACTTTAGCGTAGTTCTTAATTCAACACCAATATATGAAGCAGCATTCATTCCTCCATTATGGAGGTAATTACTACTGAAGGCTAAACATTTTGCTTCTTGCTTTTGCTTTTAAAATATTCAAAAGTAAGTCCATATAAAAATAATTCTTAAAAAGTCACAGTAGTAAAGAAAAGTGATCAACTGACAAAACCCACATGCAGGTATGAGTCTACGTTGTCATGGATGATTAGGAGAGCCAACGAACAAGTCCTCTTTGCAGCATTTACATGAAATAATTTTAAACCTTCTTGGAATACTATAAAAGGCAGACAAATTAGAAATGCAACTAAATAAGGAGAGGAAGGGATAAGAAAGCTAGTTTGCAAGCCTACTCCTACCTGCCTCCACCAGTGCCCACAGATCATCATAATTTGTGTGCAGACAATGAAATATAATTCAGAGAAATATTAGAACTGGAACAGAGGTTTAAAGAAACTCTAAACCAAAACAGGATGTTTCTGCCCAGTCCAGCCTTCGCCAAAGAGAAAACCCATCAGACACTGAGCGCTCAAGGGGAGCGAGGGCGCCGGGCGCAGGAAGCAGGAGTACTCAAGAGGTAAAACCCGAGGCTGATGCAACCGAGGGGGAAGAAGGAAGGGCATCAGATAATCCAACAGCCCACACCAGGGGAAACATGCCGTAACTCACCGTTAATTGCACACTGCAGACCTCAGCAATTTGGAGAGCTTGCAGTACAAGACCGCTTATATTCAAGTCTCATGTCTCCACTAACTCACTTTGGGATTTATCTCCGATTTCACGTTACAAGCCCACGCTGTCTTCAAAAACAGAGCCAAAGACTCTGCAAGCACAAGAGCTTTTTGCGGCTTTCGTTTCAAAGGTGCAACTGAACCACACATCTGATACACTTGTATATCCTGTACATGGCAGGGTGGAGGGCGAGCATGTCCAAGCGGCAGCCCTGGCGCGCACGCTCGCTCACTGTTTTGGGGCGGCATGAAAAGCTCTGTGGGGGAGGACATTGTAAACCCTGACATTTGCAAGGGTAACAAGGGTATTACATATATACAGTCAGCAAATCAAACTTCTGATGTTTAATACTGAGTGATGGAAAGTGCACATAAGTTTTTTTTTTTTTTTTTAAGATTGATTTGAAAAATGCAAGTGCCAGAGACCTGTTATGCTAAGGTCTGCAGACCAATAAATTCAAGTTTCTAACATGCAATTCTGTTAATCATGTATGCTTCAGTGTTACAAGTCAAAAACACCTTGAAGAGCAAGAAAAAGATGTTCTCAACACAACTACGATCAAAACTGGTCAGATCCTTTGCATCTAAATAGTCCAGCTGGAAGAGTGAAACACTTTCTCCCCTGGCCCGCTTAACCAAAATAACTTTCACAAATGAAGGAAATCAGGAAAAAGGTTTTTCATACCTTTCCCAGCCCAAACATTAAATCGATGCCCCTAAAGTTAATGCAATTCTATGGAGAAAATATACATGGGAATCGAGTCTGCCAACTACGCAAGTATAAGTAGTACATGATTGAAAACTTGATCAATAAAATGGGGTCACCTGAGGTCAAGAATGGTTGTTTTTAAACTCCCATCTTTGCAAGTCTGAGCAGATATAATAGGAAAGTAATGTGTGTTAAAAAAGACAAGAAGCTTTCATAACTATACTGTACATGGACTCGAGAGGGCTCTTCGTGAATGTTTTCACTATAACTCTTCCAATCCAACAGGAATTTTACAGAACTGCAAGTTAGACTACCAAACCCTCCCCCCTCCCCTAATCCACCAGTATTTAGAACCTCAGCCATCAAATCTCCCAAGCCCATCTGTACAGCCTCCCTGTGCTGCAAAATAACCTTAGGGTTTGCTTTAGAAAGCACAAAGCTCTTCTGCAGCCGCTCCTCAGTGAGCGCGCACATTTCGCACTGCAGTTCAGATCCCTTCTGCTTCAAGCAGAACAGAGATACTTGCGTTGAAGACTGCTGCCCACCACAAGGAGATATTCCACAATAACCACATGTAGACACGTCCTCACACTTTAAAGAATCATACACTCTAAAGTAGTTATCTCCCTTGTGCTGATAGTACCTTCTTGTTTGTCTACTTTTACACTGACAAAAGACCATACTAAATCCAAAGCCCCCCCTTTCACACACTCCACCACAGGGCCTGTTCCTAATTTTAATAATGCAAAGGAGGGAGAGATGTTTTATATGGTCCTAAGCATCAGTCAGCACCTCAGGGAGAGAAACTGCAGTAAATTGAATGCATGTGCACCAGGCACGAGCGGGCAGGCTAGCGGCCCTGCGGCAGCCAGCTAGCACTGGCACTGTCACTGTCACACATCTCGGTTTCCGGTTGCCCTGTTTGACAGTAAGGCACTGGTTCAGGACTCCAAACGACTTCACTTCCCAGCTTGTACTGACTTGCTGCATGATAGGGCCCCTCCCTAGGGGTTTTGCCTTATTTCCCTTCCACCTAAGCAAAAATGAGGATAATAGCTTCCCCTGTCTCCAAAGGGTTAGGAGATATAGACAGTAAGAACAGGATGCTCAAATATTGTGTGTAGCTGGAATAACGAAGGAACAGTTTACTGTTTCTTTAAAAGAAAAAAAAAGAAAAGAAAAAGCTTCTCTGAAACTCTTCATCTTAATTTCTAGCTACACCCTCTTCCAAGTCTTGAAGGAGCACTAAGTGTCTGCAACCAGAGCACCTCATTTACCAAAAAACCATGGGCCGCCCTCCCTCCCCCACCCTGAGCAGTTATCAGTGACATGTATTTAACGATCTTAAAACGTGGGCTTGCTTCTCTGCAAAGAAAGCTCCCTGTGCATGTGCCTACAGCTGCGGCTAGCTCTGTCCAAATACTGTAATAGTATTTACCGAGGAGCAAGAGGGTCCTGCTAGGACAATTGCTTGTGCACTTAAGTTAACCCTCTCCAAAGGCTTCCCAGGGATAGACCGCATGCTCTTTTTTTTTTTTTTTTTTTTATCTCCCCACCCCCGAATTTCAGGAATGTTATCTCTCAGCATCTAGTTATCCAATAAGTTAGAAGAATGCAGTAAACCCAGCAGGGGGGTTAGATTGAATCACTGGCAAATGGATGGAAAAAAATCCACTATTGTGTAGGACAAGGCGGTCATCGACAAGGAAGGCTGATAAAGTCCACAGGGCTCGAATTAATTTTTGGTGGGAATCATTAGGTGAGGAGTAAAATAAGTCTTCATCTGGTTTGATTTGATTTCAGAAAGGGTGCTGCTAGTGCTAGTCTACCACTCATCTGAGCAATTAGTGACCTGATTTTTTTCAACTGTGATAAAATTTTATTTCACTTGAATTAGGAGGAATTGCTCAGAGCTCAAGCTTTTTTATTTTCTTTTTCTTTAGAAAGAATGTAATTCCTTTGGTGAGGTTACTTTTTCCATAGACTAGGTTTGATCAACTTTAGTACTTCAACATCAGCATGACCATGCACTTGCAGCTAAAATTAACACACAAAGGATTAGAAAGTATCTGTCCTTAAATGTGAAAACTTCTGCCACCAGCTCCTCAGTCCTCTCAAGAGGTTGTGCTTCCTTGATTTTTTTTTTCCTTCCTGCTAATCCCAGCTGGAAAATTTAGGACATTTCAGGAACTTTAAACTGTAAAAAGTTTCCCCTCTCCCCCCACTATATCACACCGTTTTAAACATACTTTCTACAACTACAACTATCAAAATGTACTTGAGTAAGCTAAATACATTTGACTGATTGCTTATTGAGAAATATTCCAAAGGCCTTACTTAAGGTTTTCTACACTGAATTAAATCAACGTTTTACCCAAGAAGAAGCCAGAAAGGCGTTACATCTCACCTGAAAGTACATTAAACAGTGGTCGTTTTCTCTCAAGGCTTTAGTTTTTGTTTAGCCACCTACCGACCTACCTATGCGATTTTTGATTATCCCCTACCAAAGAGAAACATTAAGCAAGGGGTAGAAAATAAGAAAAAAAAAAAAAAGATGTGAACAAACTGATCTGACAAGCTAGAGGTGATGAAAGACACGGGAAAAGTTAAGCTCAGAGAAGTAAATTTCCAGTTTCAAACCGTGGGCATGGCCCCGGCTGCAGGGCAGGCCCCTGCGCCCGGTCCTGGCGCCAGGAACCTTTTGACGGAGTTTCAAAGGGCTTAAAAAAAAAAAA